ATGCGTCTTGACTAGACCTTTCTAATGGTACCAAATTCATTCAATTTGGTCCACTACATACGGAGATATTTGCATTTTTTTAAACTGAATATTTTTTCTTCACCTTTTGTCGCCAGGTTAGAAGTTTACCACAATTCTGCTAGGATTTAAAATTCCTGATGTGCTTTACTATGGTCCCAAGGGGAGTACATTTATCTGTATATAAATTGTAGGAAAACTCAGTATTCTTTTATAATCTGCTTCAATCTGAACAATTGTTGACACAAGAACAAACTAATAACAGCATTCCACATGTCTTGGCAACTCATTTATATAATATTATTATTTCAATTCCTTTAAACAAGCTCAACACCTTGTAAACACTATGTGTGAGGACAGAGATTCTCGCAAATGAACAGCTTTTACTGCCAGTATTCTTTCACTCGAACGAGAAACCAAACAACAAAAACATCCATCTAATACATGCTAATAAAAATTGTTATAAGATAAATATTAGTGAATGTCAATAGCATTTATTATAATAAAATAGATTTATTACACTTTATCTCAATATCTTGATGGTCTAATTTTGACAGTCTAATTTGACAAAGAAGTCTTTATATAATATAAAGTACTATACCGCAAAATTAGCTATTATTTCTACATAAAAAAGCTTTCTTGAGAGATCGGATACTCACTTATAATAGAACACGTGTATATCTGGCTATAAATTGAGGCTTGTATTTCCAAATTAGAATGCAAATCCTAATTAGGAAATTTGAAATTGGGTTCGATAAAATTTGTCACGATAACGATACTGATACAACTATAATTAGTATGAATTGCTCATTGATCCTGTAAATTGAAAACTTACAATAAAACTAGTATAGACTACATTACATTAGACGAGTTATGTTAGTCAATTTTTAAATCATGCTTACGTTTATAATATTGATAAGATGACTGTACATTCAAGATATTTCTGTTTTAATATTTGATGTTATAGTCTGAGATGACGTGAGACAACATGATATCAATCTGTTTATGGAACTGGAAAATGTAATATATTTATCTTTTACTATCAAATTCCATATAAATGACTCCTCAATTGAAGTTAAGATTTACAAAATTATTACTGAAAATAATGTTTAGTCAAAGTTAATTCTTTCTACAACAATAGTTATATCTTTTTATATTGAACTATGCTAACCACATTTTATTATCACCGATTCCGGAACTGCTTTTAAATCGTTTAGCTTTTGAAAATTTAAGTAATTCATGGGAATGGGCGGCAACGAGAGCATTGAGAACTGTTATATCGAGATTTAGTTTTCGAACAGCTGCATTCTTTGCGATTACAGCACCAGCATAAGGTTTGCGATCGTGTGTTTATTTGCGATCTTGCGTATTCTTGAGCCATTGTGCGACCGCAAGAGCATCCACAACAATATTTATCAGATGTATCGTGCACGTGATCCGGAATTGAACCACATGAGCATCTTGTACAATTTTCGGGGCCGTAAAGTGCAGATATATGATCGCGGTTGTAATTCATGTTTATAATGTGAATTTTCAAAAGAATAAATAAATTGGAATAAGCAGACAAAAGATAAGCGTGCTTTATATTAATATTCTAAAAACAGTGGATTGTTCGATTTAGTAATTTTCATAGCGACACACATTTCTTTTTATTACTATCGCTACATTTTATTATGTACTCATTAAGACAATGGATTCTTCGATATAGTGATTCTCATAGCGGCATACATTACTATTGCTACTTCTTAGTAGGTACTCATTTTATGGGAAAAAAGATTTATGCATGCTTTGTATTGATATTCTAAAGACAGTGGATTGTTTGATACACGTAGTAATTTTCATAGCGACATACATTTCTTTTTATTACTATCGCTACATTTTTGTATTCATTTTACGAGAAAAAAGAGGTTTATGCGTGCTTTGTACGTACAATAGATTCTTTGGTGTAGTGATCTTCATAGCGATACACATTACTATCACTGCTTTTACGTATTTTGTATTCATTTTACGGGAAAAAGATATCTATGCGTGCCTTGTATTGATATTCTAAAGACAGTACGTAGATTGTTTGATATAGTGATTTTTATTACTATTGCTATGGTGTAAAAACTCTTAAATCGACAATATGTTTCATGTAAAAATTCTATCAACTTCTTACCTAAGTAAATACAAAATTTAACTGGCAATATCATAGAAAAGGACTTCCTTGATAATATCACTGGTCAAATTTGGATTTAAGAAGTTGATAGAATTTTTAACATGGAGTAATTGTCAATTTAAGTGTTCCCGCACCATACTTTTTATTATGTATGTACGTACTCATTTTATGGGAAAAAGATATTTATACATGCTTTGTATTGATATTCTTAAGAGTGGATTGTTCGATGTAGTAATTTTCATAACGACACACATTACTATCGCTACTTTTTATTATGTACTCATTCATGGGAAAAATGAGATGTGTGCTTTGTATTGATATTCTAAAGACAATGGATTCTTCGATATAGTGATTCTCATAGCGGCATACATTACTATTGCTACTTCTTAGTAGGTACTCATTTCATGGGAAAAAGATATTTGTGCATGCTTTGTATTGATATTTTTAAGAGTGGATTATTCGACATAGTAATTTTCATAACGACACACACTACTATCGCTACTTTTTATTATGTACTCATTCATAGGAAAAAAGAGATGCGTGCTTTGTATTGATATTCTAAAGACAGTGAATTGTTTGATATAATAATTTTCATAACGACACATTTCTTTTTATTGCTATTGCTATGGTGTAGGAACTCTTTAAATCGACAATACTTTTCATGTAAAAATTCTATCAACTTCTTACCTAAGAAGTAAATCCAAATTTAACCAGTAATATCATAGAAAAAGTCTTTCTTGATAAGATTACTGGTCAAATTTTGGATTTGGAATTTAACATGATACATATTAATATTGTCGATTTAAGAGTTCCTGCACCATCATGCTTTGTACATGTATTGATATTTTAAAGATAGTGGATTGTTCGATATAGTAATTTTCATAGTGACACATTTCTTTTTATTACTATCACTACTTTTTATTACGTACTCGTTTTACAGTAAAAAAGATATTTATGCGTGCTTTGTATTGATATTTTAAAAACAATGGATTATGATTTTCATAACGACAAGTGCTGGTGCTGTAGCAAAACATATGAAGAAAGATGTAGTTGTTTGAAATTTAAATCTTTTTGTGACAGTTCTAAATGTTCTTTGTGCCATCCACCTTCAATACCAATAATTCTTTGGTGTCATCCACGTTCGTGTTCTTCAGCATTCCAGCGAGCCTTTCTTCAACGATCCCAAGAATTTAAGTGTCTTCAAGAACCATTTCGAGATGTTAACGCCTTGAGTATGATTTTTGGAATATATTATCAGCAAAAAGAAAAAGACAATGAAAAATTTCTGAATCAATTTCAAGAAGAAAATAATAATAAACCACTTAGAGTGTTCGTTAAAGATATGCCAATTTTTATTGAAGGCAGATACGGACCCAACATTAGAAATCCTGCTTTGCCCAAATCGACACTTTCAAAGATCAGACATACATTTCTCATTAGAGATCCATCTAAATCTATAAAATCCTTATATCGAGCTTACTTTCAAATACATTTCCAACGACATGAACCTCTCAAAGAAAAGGAAGATACTGAAAAATCCATCAAATTAGATGAGTTAAAATTTATAACTTCATCGATAGGTATTAAAGAACTTGCCGTGTTTTTTGACTACGTTAAAGAAGAGTTTAAAGACCAGACACCCCTGGTAATAGATGCAGATGATCTTTGTAAGAATCCAAAAGGGATATTGAGAAAATATTGCGAGTTAATTGGAGAAGAGTTTGATGAGAGTATGATCTCTTGGAAGCCGGGAAAGATCAAAGATTGGTATTCAATGGGTGTATGGCATAGGTAATTTGTTTATTCCATTCAATATTTATTTTACAAGAATTTATTGGATATTTTAAAATAATCTTAGTATTTATCCTTAAAAATAATAGCGATTTGGAGCAAAGCACCGGATTCGGTAAATTTTTGAATACAAAAAATTCCTGTACTAAAGAGTTCAAATATCCTCTTTTTGTTGAAGAATGGATTGAAGAAAATAGAAAACATTATGATTATTTGTATCAATTCCGAATAGTGCCTTGATCTTTCTATAATTTCACATTCAAATTATTGTACAAGTACATCGTTTAAGCCTGACTTCTAGGGTATAATAATGTCAATTATTTTTGAGAATACAATTGATTTGTCATTTTCTATCTGACTAACCATAATAAAAATTCCATTTTGCATTTTACTGTAACAACAATTAAAGAAGATATTAATAAAAATAAATCAATGATTAGAAAAATAGATAGAAGCTATCACGCAAAAATCAGATTGTTAATGAATTATTACAATTTAAAATTTTCGTCATTGTCATCTACATACGTATAGAGTCATAGAATTTTGTTTCAGTTATCCTACAGGTTTCGCAGATCTAAATACTGTTACGTACGTACATGCATGTACCCAAAAAGTAACGCTTGGTCCAAAATTTTATAATAAAACATATAAAAAATGGAAATTTTCAAGCTATGTATATACAGTCCCCAGCATAAGTAACTGATCCCCGGATAACTTTCAGAAAATTATGTGTAATGTTCTGGAATTTTCTGAGCACAAAGAACATCACAAACACTGATCATTGATATCTTTTATAGATTGACAGAACTTTTATATCATGTATTGTTCTTGTTAATTTGTTTGAATTAATGAATTAACAAAGTAATATAATAGTGGAAGAACAAAGACTGAATGATTTATGATTAATGGAGTTCACTAAAGGTTCTAAAGATCTCCTGTGATAGCTTGTATGCAAACTAACTTAATAAAAATAGAAGCAAAGAAGAGAATTGAATAAAAGAATAAAAGAAACTAAAATAAAAGTAGAATAATATAAAGAAATAACAGAACTTATTGAGAATGCCTAATGAAATAAAATAACAATTGGACTTATTGAGAATGCTAATAAAGAAAATAATAACAAATTAACTAAAAATAAAATAATCAGAACTTATTGATATACTCTAATAATAAAATAAAAATACTAACTAAAGTCAATAAATTATTTAGAGTGGAAAAGTATCCACACTTTGAGTCAAGATTTAAAAATAATTATGAAAATAATAATGTATTCACAAGTATAATATTACAAGTAAAAACATTGGATCAGAGTATGAGAGTTTTTAGTAATGAGAAACTCTTCTTTTATATATTTTCAACAATTTCTTCAATTTATATAATTAATTAAAAGATTAATTTGAGAAAAAAATATAAAAGAAAATAAAAAGTGAGAAAAAAAATGAAAACAAATGTTAAAGTATACAAAATATAATTTATTAATGATTATTTTAATTATTCATTAAAAAGAAAGTAATATTTACAAATATTATATTAAATATAATTGTGTAATATAATTGTGTAATATCAAATAAATATTAAATTTAATTATATAATAGATCAAGTTAATATAAATATTATTAAATGAAATTATAATATACTATAATTTGTAATATTATAAAAATTATAAAATTATAAAATTTTTGTTAAAATAATAATATTATTTTCCTCTTAAAAAAGTTTGAGTTCTAATAAAGGATTATATATTTTTTATAACTTTTTTAAATTCAGAATTTTTTAATTTTTCAATTTGTAATTAAGCAATATTAATATTTTATTGTAGTCTTTATAAACTAATTTTGATAAATATTTGCCAAATTTACTTAGCAATCTTAAAATAATTATTAAATATTCAAGTTTTATATTCTTTTTTCAAATTATACTTGAATATTATAAGTTTTCTTTTATATTATTTAAGAATATTTTGATATAGTCTTCCAAAATAATAGTATTTTTATAACTGAATAATATTATAATTATAATTTTTAATTATATTGTTACTGCGATTCTGGATAGTGGGTTTCACTAAGAATCACTATAAGCATATGATGTTGGGAGAGGGGCAATTAAACTTAAGTAAAGAGAATGAATTATAAATATTAGCA